CCAAGATGGCCGACTTCTAAATGGCCACCATGGTCACCACCCATCTTGAGGAGTTTGCCCCCTCACATATACTAATGTGCCACAAACAGGACTTTAATATCACCAACCATTCCCATGTTATTACGGTGTATCCATATAAATGGCCCACCCTGTAGAGTGTCTACCTCCTCAGGCTGGACTTCAGGAAAAAAAAATTTTTCAACTTGAAAACAGTCTAATAAAATAAATCAACTAAATTTCAGATTACTGCCTTGTTCTGCAGCTTCTAACCACATAGACTGGTGTAGTTTGGTCACTTCTCCTCTGTGTTGGTTTACACGTTGAGATTAATCTGTAATTGATCCAATTACAGATTAATCAGACTGGTTGACTGACAGAAAAGATGATCAGAGAAACAGCTACCACCACCACCACCACCATCATCATCATCATCGACACCGGGAAAGAAGAATGGGTAGAGTTTCTCAGTAAAGGAGCAGCCAGTAAAGGAGTAGATAAGAGCTGCATCATCTACATCATGAAAGGAAACCAGACAGTAACTCTAAAAGAAAATTAAAGAAAGCTTTTTTTTAATATGAAATTCGTCAGATTGATTATATATTTATAACAATTTCAATAAACAATCAACTAAAGTTCCGCTTACTAGCTTTTTCTGTAGCTTCTAACTATGTCACGTGATTTTGATCAACAGGTGCGGTTTGGTCAGTTCTATTGTTAGGACTTCTTCTCTGTGTTGGTTTAAATGCTGAAATTAACCTGTAATTGATTCAATTTCCCCTTGGAAAAGAGAGACTGACTGATAGATCAGTTGTCACCATCACCCATCACAGGACAGATGATCAGAGGTGGACAGATTTTACCATCATCATTAACACCGGGACAGAACAATGGGTAGAGTTTCTCAGTGAAGGAACAGCCAGTAAAGGAGTAGATACGTGTTGCATCCTCTACATCATGAAATGAGACCAGACCCTCTTCATAATCCACAAACACCCCCAGCTTCTCAGGATAAGACTGAAGAGAAACACGGACTGGAGGGTCCTTAAGAGCTACACAAAGATTTTCATCTGCCTTAAAAACACACCAGTAACCTTTCTTGGGAGTCCACTCAACTGTGAATTCTTCCTTCCTGTTGACTGACTCTCTGACCACTCCTAAAATCCAAAAGGTTTTCGATTTAACCTGAACCTCAAAGTAAAATCTGCCTGAAGAGAAACTCTGCTTTCCTAAAACAATGGGAATTTTAGAAAATCTCTCTGGGTTGTCTGGAAGATCATTCTCCTCTTCACCACAGTGTACTTGTTTTCCATCATCAGACAGGATGAGATAAGGATGTGCTGTATCAGGATCAAGAGTCACATCCACTGCATACTGCTGGACCCTCTTCAGCTCAGCCTCAAACAGCTTCTTCATGTCTTTAATGAGTGTCTCCTTCAGCTGATCCACAGCTCTCACCACAGTCCCCTCATATGATGGTGGATGGATACTGACCTCTGTCCAGTCCTTGGTGGCTGGAGCAGCTTTCAGGGATGAGAAGCTTTGGAGGAGGTGGAGGTGATCTTTAGAGCGTGAGAGCTGCTCCACCTCAGAGCTTCTCTTCATCAGCTCAGAGATTTCCTGTTCCAGATCTTTGATGAAACCTTCAGCCTGTTTCTCTGTTGTTTCCTGTTTATCTTCAATCTCCTTTATGAGCTCGTTCAGGTGTCTGTCAACAAACTCCTTCAGAGCAGTGAAGACCTGAACACCTTCTGCTTTCTCTCTGTCTGCAGCATCTTTACTCATCTTCACTGACTCTTTGATCTCCTGAATCTTCAGTCGTCTCTTCTGGATCATCTGTTGAGTTTCAGCCTCAGTCTTCCCCAGCTCTGCCTTCTTTCCTTCATATTCTTCTCTCAGAGGAACAAACTCATGAGTCTTGTGGTCTATAACAGAGCAGAGCATGCAGACACATGTCTGATCGGTCTTACAGAACAGCTCCAGAGGTTTATCATGCTTCATACACATCCTGCCTTCCAGGTTCTCCTCAGGATCGATCAGCTGATGTCTTTTCAGACCTTTCATTGTCAGATGAGGCTCCAGGTGAGTCTGACAGTAGGAGGCCAGACACACCAGGCAGGACTTCAGAGCCTTCAGTTTGGTTCCAGTGCAGATGTCACAGGGAACTTCTCCTGGTTTGGCAGCTTGTTGCTCTGAGCTGCTGCTGCTGACTTTCTGCTGAGCTTCATGTCTGAACTGAGAAACCATCTCAGAGATGAAAGTGTTGATGTGCAGCTCAGGTCTGGTCTCAAACACCTTTTTACACATGGGGCACTGACACCTCTCACTGATATCCCAGTGTTGACTGATGCAGTTTTTGCAGAAGTTGTGTCCACATGGTGTGGAGACTGGATCAGTGAAGACATCCTGACAGATGGAGCACAGAAACTGATCTTCAGATAGAAGACAGCTGGCAGCAGACATGTCTGCACTCTGAGTGAGAAAGAAGAGAAAATGATTTTATTTTAAATTGAGTTTTAATTAAATCTATGGATTTTATTTAGTTTCTGATTCTGATCCTTCCAGACCGTAATCTGCTTTAGTCTGTAAGTCTGTTTTATACCAAGGAACACAAGTTGTGTTCCTGTCCTATCAAGAACTCTAACAAAGAATTTCATACAGTGGTTTTTACATTCACCATGTTATTTTCTCTTTGAAATTTTGGTACCACTGTCTCTGTTGCTTTTTGCATGTTTTTTTATGTCAGGATCAACCAGTATGGCTGCTGAGTCAGCAGATTCTGGTATACAAAATGTATTTACTCTCAGTGCACATAATGCACTTGAGTGTGTTTTATTTCTTAAACATAAACAAATTTAGACAATGATGCCCTCAACACAGATTCAAAATAACCCTGTAAATGTAGTGACAAGTAACAATCTGTAAAGCTCTCAATTAGCAGGTTAACTGATATCAGGTGCAGGTTTTCAAGATTAGTGGATGATCCTTTTATACCCAAAGGTTCAGTCTTTGCAAAAGGGGTTGTAGCTCACCACTGTTTGTGGAACTTCAGGAGAAAATTATCTTTCAATATAAAAACATTGTTTCTCTCATCATCTATGGTACATAACATTGTGAAGAGATTCAGGGAGAAATCCCTGTGCATAAAGGTCAAGCAAGGAAACCACTGCTGAATGTGCGTGACCTTTAAGTCCTTAGGAGGTATTGCAGTCAAAACCATCCCGCTATTGTGACTGACAGAGCCTCATGGCCTTAGATGTACTTCAGAAGTCATTGTACAATATCACAATCCGCAGCTTTATTAAGAAATGCAGCCTAAAGCTGAAATGTGCAAAGAGGAACCAATATAACAATTTTGTGCAGAAACATCAGTGTTTTCTGGGTAAAAGCTCACTGAGTTTATGGGAAAAAACTGAAAATCCTTTCTTTTTTCACTCGCCTGTTAAATGAAAGTTGAATGTAATTACACAATTGTAGATTTCAGTTTTTATTCCAGTTTTAGAAAGTTTTTTGGGTCGGCCTTGTCATTTTTGAGATATTATGCAAATGCAAGAAAGCAGCCATACATAAGTGATAAACATGCACACTAGAGGACACATCCTGGTCAAAAAGGACTCCAAGATTCCTCACAATGTTACTGGAGGCCACAGTATTGCCATGCAAACAAAATATGTGGTTAGATACCATATTTCTAAGATTTTTAGTGTTGAGTACAATATTCAGCCTGCTGCCAGTATTTTACTGTTAAATATACAAGGTGATAAATAAGAAACGTAAAGCTGAATAAAGCTTAGGAATATTACTAATATCTAAAGATATCTAAATAAAACTTCAAAGCTCAAAAAACACAGAACGCTGGGTAAGAGACCCAGGACCATAATATCTCTATCCTCTGCAGCCCTTTAAAACATTTCTTAATGTAAGTAAAAACTAGAAATAATCACAATAAAATAAAATCAAAACTTAAAACACAGTTAATAGCAATACAAATGTGTTAAAATTAGGATAAAAACAGGCTTTAAAGCAATAATAAAAGCCTGGTTAAACAGAGAAGTTTTCAACTGCTCATTAAATGAGTCCACAGGGTCAGCTGGAGGTTTCACAGCTTTTGTGCCACAGACTGAAAGTCCCCTGTGTTGCTCTCTGTTTTTTCTTGTACCTGTACAGCAAAGAAGGAAACTTACCTTTACTTAGTTTCAGCTTTAAGAGCGAATAAATATGTGACAATGTCTCAGCTCAGGACCGTGTTTTAGGCTCTGACAGTGAACGACACAGCTGATGATTAATCTTTAGACACAGAAGTCTGGCTGCTCTCTATCAGCCCGTCACAGCAGCTGCAAAGCCAGCGAACCATGCATGCACTTTCTTCATTCTACAGATTGTGGCAGCCTAGGTGCAGAGCTGCAATTCTACACGTTGAATGAAGAAGCTAAGGAAGTGTTTGACACAGTAGGATTGTTTCTATTTTGTTGTCTTTTTTTTCTGAGTCTCTTGATTCTTGAAGTCCAGTCTATTTCTCGTTTATTTACTTAACGACACTTGCTACTGTGAAACAGCTGCAATTGAGCGGTTTCAGACCTTCCCCCCAACCAGCCTTATCTCTGCTGTCACAGATCAGGACTGGTGGAAGTGAAAGTAAAAGGGAAAAAACAGGGGTTGGTGGTGGGGTGTAAAACAGTTACATTAATGGAACTTTAAATGTATTTTTTGTACCATGTTCACAATTCAAAATATTCAGCTGACAGAAATTTTGATGACTCAAATAATTAAGTTATTTAATTCTCAGGTCCAGTTGGTCCAGCAAAATATGAAGCTGGCTCAGCTGATTGCCGAACAATCTCACTTGTGGTTGTTCTCTTACATCAACCTGTAAGTTGACCAGTCATGTTTTTGTGATATCATGAAACACATACTGAAAGAGAGGACACAAGCGTGAGTGAGAACACAACAGAAAGAAATGCAGACAATATACACACAAAGAGGACTACAAGGGAACAGGCCACAGGTGGGAACACAGCTGACACTAAACTGAATGACGATGCAGGGGAAGCAAAACTGAACAGAATACACATGAGATGGAAGATTAACAAAGCAGGAAGTACAAACACTGAGAGCATGACTAAGACACGTGGGATTGACACTGGGACTAGGGAGAAAACAGACAGTCATGGGTTTGTGACCGGGAACGCTGAAAGACAGAGAGACTATACTGCGGAAAACTGAGCTGAAGAAAAACTAATATAGAACTAGGACATAAACCATGACAAACACAAAAACTAGTTCAAAGATGTCTTAGAGGAGAAGAGAAAATAATTCCAAAATAAAGCCAACATGTGCTGCACAGTGAAGCTGGAATAAAGAAAGAACAGAGTGAAACACTGAAGCAGCTCTGATGAGCTGAATAATCACTAATCAAACACACACAATGATTTAAATGTTTTAAATAAAGAACAGAGTGGGCCTGGCTAACAGCGCCCTCTGCTGCATTTTCACTTAAAGTGCTGCATTTTTGTCGTCTTAATCCGGGCTGAACATCAGAGAGAAAAAATAATGAAAACTTAGCTAGCTAGATGTAACTAAAAAATTGCATTTTCCAAATTTATTTATGACATGTATGATAGTTTTCATGCTACTGGCGTAAATGTGGGTCTTTCTAAAAGAACTGGTCTTGCTGTCACTTCAGAGGTAAAAAGGCTGAAGTTCACCGGCTGATTATCATCAAAGAAGAAATAAAAGTTTAGAATTGTATTTATTGTATTCTGAAAAAGCATGGTGTACATATTAAAAAAATATTTTCAGAAACCCTGATTTTGATATTTAAGAAAAGGTGAATGAAAAGAATAAAATATTAGAATAGAATAGAATAGAATAGAATAGAATTCAACTTTATTGTCATTGCACATGCACAGGTACAGGGCAACGAAATGCAGTTTGCATCCATCCAGAAGTGCTTTAGTGATATAGATATATTACAATATATATTAGCAATAATATAGATATGTGAGTATATTACAGAAATGGGTCTATTATGGTATGTTATAATGTACACGGTATGAAGTATGTTGTGAATATTCTATAACTATAAGTATGTACAGGCTGTAGTGAGTACAAGCTATGTACAGGCTATGAACAGGATATAAATATGAAAAACTATACAGAATATGAAATAAATAACTTTACAGAATCTGAGATATACAGCTATACAGAAATGGGAACTATGCAAGTTGTAAACAGTTGTAGGATTAAAAATTATCGAATGTACAGAATGATTATTTACACAGAGCTATACAGTAGTGCAGTTAAGATAAGTGTCAGAGTGTGTACAGTATGCTTTAATGTCTGTGCCTTTGAACACTGAAAGCAAAAGAAAAGGAGAGTTTCTATTTTGTTATGTTGTAATCATTTTTTCAACTTGAAAACAGTTTAACAAAAACTCAACTGACTCGAATCTGCAGCTTCTAACTGTATATCATGATCATGATCAGCAGCTGCAGTTTTCTCAGTTATGTTTTTTATGACTTCTTTTCTGTGTCCGCTGAAAGGTTGAGATGATTCTGTATATGGTCCAGTTTCCACATGGTAAACTATCAGACTGACTGATTGACAGGACAGATGATCAGAGGTGCAGAGTTTTTACCATCTCATCATTAAACACGGGACAGAACAATGGGTAGAGTTTCTCAGTGAAGGACCAGCCAGTAAAGGAGTAGATCACATCTACATCATCTACATCATAAAAGGAGACCAGACCCTCCTCATAATCCACAAACACCCCCACCTTCTCAGAACCACGACTGAAGAGAGAGTGGGAAGTGTCTCAAGCTCCACAAATGTTTTCATACTCCTACAGTCCAGTAACCTTTTCTAGGACTCGGTGTATGACTTCCTTCCTGTTGACTGACTCTCTGACCACTCCTAAAACCCAGTCAGGTTTTCTTTAACCTGAACCTCAAAGTAAAATCTGCCTGAAGAGAAACTCTGCTTTCCTAAAACAAGACGCTCCAGAAAATCTCTCTGGGTTGTCTGGAAGATCATTCTCCTCTTCACCACAGTGTACTTGTTTTCCATCATCAGACAGGATGAGATAAGGATGTGCTGTATCAGGATCAAGAGTCACATCCACTGCATACTGCTGGACCCTCTTCAGCTCAGCCTCAAACAGCTTCTTCATGTCTTTACTGAGTGTCTCCTTCAGCTGATCCACAGCTCTCACCACAGTCCCCTCATATGATGGTGGATGGATACTGACCTCTGTCCAGTCCTTGGTGGTTGGAGCAGCTTTCAGGGATGAGAAGCTTTGGAGGAGGTGGAGGTGATCTTTAGAGCGTGAGAGCTGCTCCACCTCAGAGCTTCTCTTCATCAGCTCAGAGATTTCCTGTTCCAGATCTTTGATGAAACCTTCAGCCTGTTTCTCTGTTGTTTCCTGTTTATCTTCAATCTCCTTTATGAGCTTTTTCAAACATCTCCTGAGAGTCTTCCTAGAGCAGTGAAGACCTGAACACCTTCTGCTTTCTCTCTGTCTGCAGCATCTTTACTCATCTTCACTGACTCTTTGATCTCCTGAATCTTCAGTCGTCTCTTCTGGATCATCTGTTGAATTTCAGCTTCAGTCTTACCCAGCTCTGCCTTCTTTCCTTCATATTCTTCTCTCAGAGGAACAAACTCATGAGTCTTGTGGTCTATAACAGAGCAGAGCATGCAGACACATGTCTGATCGGTCTTACAGAACAGCTCCAGAGGTTGATCATGTTTCACACATATCCTACTTTCCAGGTTCTCCTCAGGATCAATCAGCTGATGTCTTTTCAGACGTGAAGCTGTCAGGTGAGGCTCCAGGTGAGTCTGACAGTAGGAGGCCAGACACACCAGGCAGGACTTCAGAGCCTTCAGTTTGGTTCCAGTGCAGATGTCACAGGGAACTTCTCCTGGTTTGGCAGCTTGTTGCTCTGAGCTGCTGCTGACTTTCCGTCTGAATTGAGAAACCATCTCAGAGACGAAAGTGTTGATGTGCAGCTCAGGTCTGGTCTGAAAGACCTTTTTACACACAGGACACTGACACCTGTCACTGATATCCCAGTGTTGACTGATGCAGTTTTTGCAAAAGTTGTGTCCACATGGTGTGGAGACTGGATCAGTGAAGACATCCAGACAGATGGAGCACAGAAACTGATCTTCAGATAGAAGACAGCTGGCAGCAGACATGTCTGCACTCTGAGTGAGAAAGAAAAGAAAATGATTTTATTTTAAATTCAGTTTTAATCTGTTTTGTGGACTTTTTCTGCTTTTCCTTCTTTCCTGTCAAAGTTCTTGTTCTTTCCACTTGTGTATGTTTATGCTAAACATGACCAAACGCTCAAATACTAATAATTAAGTGAATAAAGTGGTCAGTGTATTTGAAAGTAATTCCTTTGAGCCCAACATTCAAACTTCAGACTGCTCTAAACACTCAGTATCACACAGTTGTTGTTTTTTTAGTCTTACATCTGTTTGATAAAAAGACCAGCCATAGGTGTCAGATAATATCAAGGTTGAAGCTAAAAATTTAAGTGGTGATGTTGGATTGTGGTGGGGTGTGGTCTGCGGTGCCGTGCAGGGAGGGCGGACGCACCTGCACGCCATCCTTAATCACGCCCGCCTAGTTAAAAACACGGGGACTCAGGGGGGTTGTGGTGGTGTGATGCAAATGTTAAATAAAGATGGCTCAAAACATGGATCTGTGGTCCCGTCGTGCCTTAATTCCACCACATGGATGTTGTCAGTGCAAATGCCTGAAAACTGGATGTCAGTTTGAAGAGAAAGAAGAATTCTGGATTCATTCTTGGATGAAGTGGCAGAGAGTGTCCCCAGTGGGGGAGAGTGGTGATTGGATCAAACTTTAATTGGCATGAAGGAAACAGAGGTGATGAGGTGGTGTTGGGTATGTATGGTATTAATGACCTAAAAAAGAAGAAGGACAGATGTTGGCAGATTTTGTGAAAAGGATGGAAATAGTTGTGGTTAACACATATAAGAAGAGGGAGGAACAAAGGGTAACCTGCAAGAGTGGAGGAAGGTGCACACATGTGGACAACATCTTATGCAATATGAAAGACACAGGAGATTGCAAGGTGGCATTAGTGGAGAATGTAGATCGGTAGCACTGGATAGTAGGCTTTAGGATGACTTTATGAAGACATTCTATGACTCAGGGCTTCCTAGTCATTAGTCAGCAAAGTACAACCTACTGGTCTTGCAACAACTCTAAAATATCCTATCTGGTTGAGCTGCAAAAGAACAAGATGTTCAGTGGGCTAAGCCAGATCCTAGAAACGATCGACCCAACAATCTCTATGTGGCTTCAAAGGTCCACCCTCAAGTAATACTTTGGACAGATACTGCCTAAATTGCATATCATGCTGGGGAAAAAAACGTACTATTACCATCTGTTTTGGTGGTCATCCCTAGTAAAGAAAGTATAATAATATGTTACTGCCTGCTATGTTTTTGCCCAA